ATCATGCATTCGAAAAAAAAAATTAAATTAGGAGCGAAGAATCTAGGAAATGCACGTAATTGTAATCATAATTTTGATAAAATACAATCACATTTTTAAATTTATTTTGTGATTGTACTTTATTTTTTCATACTTGATAAAAAAAAATTGCAAATAAATTGACACGTTCGATTACTCTCACAAATTAAATCTGCAAAAAAATAGTCACAAAATTGCAAATATGAAATTTCTATTCTTATGAATATTTCAAGTCTCATCTAAAAGTTTTGATAAGACTTGAAATAAATAATATCTCTAAATCTTTAAATAAAGGATATCTCTAGACGTCGATAAATCTTGAAATAAAGAATATCTCTCCACATTGAAATTACCAAATAAAAAATAGAATTCTTAAAGATGAATCCAACCCATTTTCAAATGGTAATTCCCGTAGAGTTTCTCGGAGGTTATTCCACTTGAACCCCCCCAACTCACACTAATAAAAAAAGAAAAATTGTATATAATAGCATACTATTAATTCAAATTAAATACTATAATCACAGTTTGATTTAATTGTAACTCGTAGCAAACTTGTAACATCCCGAAATGCTAACCAAGAGTCGCTTGTCGATACACCATTGCTTAATCACTACTGTATGTTTTACTCTCATTTTGAGAACTTGAAATATTGTGATATTTGCAAACTTGCTTAACATAAATTGTGATCGTAATTTAAGGTATTGTATTGGGGTATTTGCGTAATATTTTAATTAGAATTATGTATAACTTGAAAGGGAGGTGAGGGTTATACATATAGGTATATATGTATGCATTTTGGGCAGCCAACCTTTTTTTGGGCAGCCACCTTTTGGAGACAGATGTGCATGTGATAAACATCACTCTTGAGACTATATGTTTACACCTCTTCTATAGTGAAATTCGTGTTCCTTAGCTCTAAGAAACCTGGTGAACTCTCTCTAACCATATTACTCTCAAAATCACAAGAGAAAAACTTGGTCCTTTTGGCTGGAATTCGGGATACACCCTTCTCTTTGGTGAGTAGTCGAAATCTGTTTTTGAGCTAAGTAGTGTTTAGTACTTTTGGAATATCTCGTTCTCTAGAACTCACTTTTCAGTGAATAAATATGTTTTGGAAAGCTAATTCGTATACCTATAACTCTTATGTTTAAATGGGCAAGATGTATATCCTTAACTAAATTATTCGTTATGAACCTAATCCCTCTACTAGATTAAAATCAATATGGCCATAGTTAACCTCTTTTAAATGTCTCAAGTTTAATTAGATTTCTTGTTTAAGTGGTAGTATCCTTTCGAAAGGGTCGCTACAAAACTGTTGCCATTCGCCTCTCTCCCTAGGTTTCTCGCTCGCCAGTCTCTCCCTCGCCTCTCTCGCATTTATACAAACACAAATGTATAAAATGCGTTTGTGCTTGTATAAAGCGAGAGAAAACTATATATACAAATACAAATACATATATTTTCGTCCTATACACTTATAATTATACAAATACAGATCTTCTCCTGCCCAGTTCTCTTTTGTCTTTCTCTCTTTCTCGCTTTATACAAACACAGATTATACAAATTACAATGTATAATTTATGTTGTATAAAGTGAGAGAGAGAGAGAGAGATTTGATATACAAATATTTTATTTCGATTCAATTATATACAAATTCAAATTTTATGCAGATATACAAACACATAAAATTGAATTGAGAGGCTGTCAGCGATTTATACAAACGAGAGGCTGTCGGCGATTTATACAAATGGTCTGCCAGTGAAATTATACAAATCTGAAGCATTGTCAACAAGTTATACAAACTGATGCTCCATAGCAAACATAAAGTTTGGTATGGAGCACAATTATACAAACTATAACTATAACATACAAATATGATTTTTATGTTTGCTATGTGTGAAAGTTGCTAAAAAAAAGGGTAAACCAAATAAAAAGAAAGAGAAAAGAAAGAGGAAGTATTTGAACCAGACTAAACTAATCACTCATTTTTTTTATTCTCAAGTCTCAAATTTAAGACCGTTAATTTATCTTATTATAATTCTTGATCGAGTTAACATCTAATCCATTTAACTGGTTGTGATATATGTAGGGTCATACATTTTAAATTTTAGCTCTATCATATATATAAATTCACCCAAGTATTTTTGTTACGTGTAGATCCTTCTTGAATTCTTGTAATTAAACACTAACACGTTTAGCCCATATTCCACAAAATAGGACCACTAAAAATGAAACAAACTAAAAGAAATTTGAAATTACTGTTGATTAGGACCACTATATGAAACAAACAAAAAGAAATCTGTAATTATTGTTGATTATTTACTTGGTGAGAGTAGTGGACCAATATTGATACAAATCAATTTTGTTTTTATGTTATTGTATTGTTCCTTCGATATAATGGCACTTGGAAAATGTAGTCACCATGCATGATTAAAAAGTTACGATAATAATATACTAGTACTATTTTTTTAGTAAAAAAATCTTAAATGTTACCCCTCGATGCTACTAGTAATTGAATAGGGATTTTCCATCAACACATCAATAATTTTATGCTATATTTTTTTTTCTTTGAAATTGGAAAGGATTTTATTTATTAAATAGTAGGTTCATCCATACAAAAAGGAACTGATCTAAACGATATAGTTCCATTCGCATCTCCTTCAAGAGCTTTTAGTGTAAAGGAGGGAGATGCTTCAAAAACAAACAACTTGTTCATAGGCATATTTGGATCCATAGTCTTCCTTCCATATTCCGCTAATAAGTCTGCTACTGATGAGTTAGCCTCCCTCATTATATGCTTCATTGTTGATCCTCCCATCTGTAGGAGCATTGACCTGCAATCCGAATAAATGTGTGAGTGTATTGGTTTAGTACTTTCTAAGGTGTTAAGTAATACCTGAGAGTCGATCTCCACGAGCAAATGATTAATGTTTATTTTCTGTGCTAGATTCAAACCATGGAGCAAAGCTAGTAGTTCCGCATGATGGGCATTAACGACTTTTACTTTGCAAGAAAATCCTACAATCCAACTGCCTAGATGGTCCCTTATAACTCCACCGGTTCCACCCATTTTCGAGTTTTGATCAATATTTAGTTTGAGCATTCCTTCAGGCGGCCGGTGCCATGCTACAGGGGTCATAGTTCACTCCCAACCAAAATAATAATTTTATGCTATATGTTTCCACTATAAATAGTTCATTCTAAAGGACCTTATTTATACATCAACCAAATAACAAGATCATAGTATATAACTTACTATACACTGGTTCTTCTAATAAGGTTGAAACTGAAACCGTGTTTGTAATGTTGGATGTTCTCTTGTCTATTGTTTCAAATTCTTGATTCAATATGCATGGCAAATGACAATTAATCACAAACTCGGTTTCAAATTTCAACCTTATCAGTAGTACTATCAGCTAAAATGATTTGTTCATCTGCTTGAATTGTTAGAGATTCATGATTACAAGTTAGAAAATCGAATTTTCATCGATAAGGTGAAAGTTCATATACTACGACTTTTCATTTCTTTATTGTTAATTAGATGTATACATCACCAACATTTTTGTTTGTGTCATATAATTACAGATCAAACTATCAATGTTTTTAAGCCACTCATGAAGCTGCTAGGCCAAGGAATCTTGATCTATGAAGCAGATAAATGGGCTAAACATAGAAGAATCATCAATCCTTCTTTTCACCTTCACAAGTTGAATGTATATATCTCTAATCTTCATAATTACTTAATGTTACTATTTAGATCGAAGATAATGGTCAAAATCACATTTAAACTATCAATTTTACGCGGATTTTACTCTTCAAACTATCAACTATGACTCTTAAAAATAAATTACATTCAACACTCTTGTAATATGACTCGGTTATAAAATATAATTCTTGTATCATAAAATCTAATATCAATAACAATAACAATTATATATTCAATATAATTTTATAAGTGAGATTTAAAAAGAATATAAGTCTTGTATCATAAAATCTAATATCAATAACAATAACAATAATATATTCAATATAATTTTATAAGTGAGATTTAAAAAGAATAGTATATATACAACCTTATTCCTATATTGTGAAGGGAAAATCAAATACTTATATATTCTTTATATTATAAAATTCCACTCAAATATAATGATTCAATTATGATATATTCACTATATTATAAAACTTAAATAATTTCCCTTATGTGGTTGAAATATAAATAATGTTATGAGTTACGTGTTACTCAAATACTGACATCATTTTTATTTTTTGTCTCAAATTTGCGACCATTTATTCATCTCACATAATTAATCCTTGTCTAGTTAGCATCTAACTCATTTAGCTGGTCATGATATAACAAGTTTAGAAGGATATAATAACTATTTCTTAGATTTTACATTTTGTAAGAATATATATATAAAAAAAAAATTAATTCATGCAAACATGATAACCAAGATAGAGCTATGAGTTTGTTATCAATTCAAAATTTACAAATTTTAAATGTTAGATCCGTCTTGTGAGATGCTTACATGTTTAGCCCATATTCCACAAAAAAAATAGAACCACTAAAAATGAAACTTAAAAATTATTGTTGATTGGGACCAGTAAATGAAACAAACAAAAAAAATTTGTAATTGTTGTTGATTAGTATAATCTTCTCTATATTTGATTTGTTTTCTTACTTGGTGAGAGTAGTGGACCAATATTAGTACATATCAATTTTGTTTTTATCTTATGTATTGTTCCCCTTTCAGTACTTTCCCTATATATCTCGTGAATCAACATACTTGAAAAATTTAATAACCATACATGATTAAAACATTGCGATAATAATATATATAATGTAATTTTCTAATAAAAAAATTTCCTTGATGTCACGGGTCGAAAAGGATTCTCCATCGCACACCATTGATTTTATGCTATATGTTTCCTCTATAAATAGCTCATCCTGTTGACCTTGTTTATAAATCAACCAAATAATAAGATCATAGTATATACTTCACTCATGTGCACTTTAAGTGAATCAAATGAGAGTACTCATGATAAGGTTGAAACTCAAAACGGCGTTTGTAATGTTGAATGTTCTTTTGTTCATTGTTTCAAAATTCTTGATCCAATGTGCATGACAATAAATTACAAACGCGAGTTTGAGTTTCAACCTTATCAATGGGGAGGAGATTATAAGGTGAGAAATCAAATCCTCACCAACAAAATGAAAATTCAGGTATTCAATCAACAGAGTTATTGTATGATTTCCCATTTCTTTGTTGTTAATTAGATTTATACATGTAAATCACCAACATCAAGCTTTCAATGTTTTTAATTACCACTAATGTGTAATATTTTCTAGAAGGCTTCCGCTGCATTCACATGAAGCTTTTAGCCAAAGGAATCTTGAACAATGAAGCAGTTAAATGGGCTAAACATAGAAAAATCATCAATATTGCTTTTCACATTGACAAGTTATGGTGAAGATATCTCTAATCTCCGTATTTCCTTGATGTTACTATAGATTAGGTAAGAAATAATGATCAAAATCAAAATTGAATTATCACTAATAGCGAGTTTTGCATTCCAACTATCTTTTCCTATCCAAATTATCACCATCTAGGTGTGTATTAAAACACACATAGATGGTGATAGTTTGGATAAAAAAAGGAAACAATTGATAGTTGGACTAATTAGCTTCGAGGTATGTATTAGTATACAAATGATGATAGTTCAAAAAAAGAAAGAGAACAACTTGTAGTTAAAATATGAGACTTGCAAAAATAATAATAGTCAAGTGTATCTTTTTTAATCATTATTATAAGTGCCCATATAAGTGAATTTAGTAATTTGAAAATAAGACAAACAACTTGTTATGTCCAATATATCAATATTAATAGTCACTATTAGAAGCGGAGGGTTTTTTCCATCGCTAATCAATAAAAAACTAAACGTGTTATAAAATATGAATTTTCCACCAAGTTAGCTCCTTGAAAATAATATTTCAAAAATATTAATGTAATGTGATTGTCCAAACGTTTGTGGTGGACATGCACTATCATATTTTGTTGTTGGCTCTGTGGTGCGAATAAAAATAATAAGTAACATCAAAATAAAAAAATATATCATGTTTTCTGTAAGAAGATATTAGTTTGTGGATTTTAATGAAATGTTATTGGCAAATTTAGTGGCGGACCCAAAAATTTACCAAGTGGATTCAAATATGAAGAAGAAAATTCACAAAAAAAACTAATAAATTAATGTGTTGTTGTCCGGTTTCGAACTGGGACACTTCTACAAAAATAAATCCACTTTACCAAGGATTGTCATTTGTTTAAATGAGTCAATTTTTCATTTATATTTATATTTTTCAAAAGATAAACCAAATATACTTATATATACTGTGTAATTTTTTTATGAAATAGGTTCATTGACCCAACATAGGTCCGCCCCTGCCTGCCTGCAATGGGATATTTATTGTGCAACAAAGTGAACATCCATCTTTTCTTATTTATTTTGCGAAGAAAAAGTAGTTGGTGGAAGGACACACTTTTCTAGCCGAGGAACTTCTTTTAACTTGTTAGTGTATATATTACATTTAGACAGGGTGGAGCTACCCTATAGCAAGGGGTGTTGACCGACACCCCTTCGTCGGAAAATTACATACTAAGGTCAAAATTTGATTTAATGAATATATATAAGTGTTGACACATTTTGACATAAGTTAAAGGTATAGTCTCGTGATTAAATACATAGTATATATAGGTCAAAATTACATAGCATTGTTCTAATTTCTAAAGTTTACTCACCTTGCAGGTTCAATTATATAATTTCAGGCCCACTAGTTTCAACAACTACAACAACAAAATCATTTACAAAATTATGACTAAAAGGCTGAATCCTATGCTCACCAAGTTGATATTTGATAATCAAAGTCAATTCGTTTTTGATAGACTAATGTAATGCTTGTCATGATATTGTCAAACCAAACTAGGGAGCAAAATAACAAAAAATTCATAATAATACAATTTAGTTACGAATTAGTGGTGAATTATAAAAAAAATCATCTTTCTAGAAATTATTTAGCTTTGAATTAACCCTAAATTATTGACATATTCTATAACTAGTTTCATATTTTTTTTAAGTAATGGATATTACAACTTGTAGTTAAAATACTAGACTCGCAAAAAAAAATAGTTTAAGTGTATTTATTTTATCATTATTATAAGTGCCCATAATAAGTGAAATTAGTATTTTGAAAATAAGACAAACAACTTATTATGTCCAATATATCAATATTGATAGCGTCACTATTAGAAGCGGAGGGTGGGTTTTTCCATCGCGAATCAATAAAAAATTAAACGTGTTATAAAATATGAATTTTCCACCAAGTTAGCTTCTTGAAAATAATATTTCAAAAATATTAATGTAATGTGATTGTCCAAACGTTTGTGGTGGACATGCACTATCATATTTTGTTGTTGGCTCTGTGGTGCGGATAAAAATAATAAGTAACATCAAAATGAAAAAAATATCATGTTTTCTGTAAGAAGATCTTAGTTGGTGGATTTTAATGAAATGTTACTGACAAATTTAGTGGCGGATCCAAATTTTTTACCAAGTGGTTCAAATATGAAGAAGTTAATGTGTTGTTGTCTGGTTTCGAACTCGAACACTTCTACAAAAATAAACCCACTTTACCAAGGATTGTCATTTGTTTAAATGGGTTAATATTTCATTTATATTTGTATTTTTCAGAAGATAATCCTAATATACTTATATATACTGTACAATTTTTTTATGAAATAGGTTCATTGACCCAACATAGGTCCGCTCCTGCCTGCAATAGGATATTTATTGTGTAACAAAGTGAACATCCATCTTTTCTTATTTATTTTGCGAAGAAAAAGTAGTTGGTGGAAGGACACACTTTTCTAGCCATGGAACTTCTTTTAACTTGTTAGTGTATATATTACATTTGGACAGGGGTGGAGCTACCTATTCCTTCGTTGAAAAATTGCATAGTATATAAAGGTCAAAATTTGATTTAATGAATATATATACAAGTGTTGACATAAGTTGAAGGTTTAGTCTCGTGGTTAAGGAGTTGCAAAACTTGTTTGAGGTTGTGTGTTCTATTTTTGATAGTTGTTTAATTTCAGCTTACAGGATCAAAAACAAAACATGAAGCTGTTTTTACTAGGAAAAAGGGTTTGAAAAATACTTCAACTTTGGTTGAAATTGCTGTTACGATACCAAACTTTGGAAATGACCTTTTACCCTATGTACTATTTAATAGTGTATTTTAAATGTATATATGTGCCTACGTGGACATCATAAATATTGCATCATTTTAAATAGTAATGTGTTCACGTGAGCACATATATACCTTTAAAAATACACTATTAAATAGTGCAGGGGGTAAAAGGTCCTCCATAAAGTTTGATATCGTAACAACAATTTCGGTCAAAGTTAAAGTATTTTTCAAACCCTTTTCCCTTTTTACTATGAGCAAAGATAGCAGGTTCTGGACCTGAGATCTTCTATCCAGCTTGTTGCCCTATCATTAAGCATTTTATCATAGACATTGTTATTGATTACTTCAGGGGAAATAAACTCACTGAATTCTTTACACATATTTGATTGTTCTAATTTCTAAAGTTGACTCACCTTAGCTTGCAGGATCAATAATTTAATTTCAGGCTTATTATTCTCAACAACTATACCAACAAAATTATGACTAAAAGGCGGAATCCTATGCTCACCAAGTTGATATTTGATAATCAAAGTCAATTTGTTTTTGATAGACTAATCACTGAAAATGTAATGCTTGCATCCGAAATTATTCATGATATTGTCAAACCAAACTAGGGAGCAAAATAACAAAATTTCATGCTAATACCATTTAGTTACGAATTAGTGGTGAATTATAAAAAAATTCATCTTGCTAGAAATTATTTAGCTTTGAATTAACCCTGAATTATTGACATATTCTATAACTAGTTTCATGTTTTTTTAGTAATGGATATTACAAAAAAGTTTAGTACAGGGCTTGGCTGTCGTCAACGAAACTATATATATATATATATATATCATAGCGGTAATTACCCATTTACTACAATTGAGACTTGAGAGGTGTACGACAAAGGATTTCCAGGAAGTTGAAGGGTTCAACCCCAATTATTGCTTTCTAGGGTTGTTTGTATCTGGTTTGGAGATAAATTATTTAAATATTAAAGTCGGTAAATTATTTATGTATATATAAAACTAATATCGTGTTTGGTTTGTAATTTTAAAAAATTATGTAATTAATATATGTACAAGTTATGAAAGAATTTCATAGTTAATATATGGTTGATTTGCAATTTAGAAATCTACATTACTGATACATGTTTAAGTCATGAGGGCATTGGTCTATTCATTCATGTGGAATAGAAGACGGGATAACTTATAGCCACATAACTAATATCTATATTATTAATATCTCCATAATTATACTTATTTTACTAATATATACATGCATAATTCTAATCATATACCTGTATTACTAATATGTACATACATTATTAATATTTCTTGTTACTTCGCCATATTTAAGCAATATATGTTCTATTTTAATTTATTATTATTATTAAGATTAATTTATTTTACAGTATATATTTTTTAAATTTAATCCTGAGGTTTTTTCTAAGAATAAGACTTATAATATTTGATATAGATATACATAGGACGGTTAAGTGTTTACTTGGAAGCATCTCCAATATTTTCTATGAAGTTTCCTCCCTTAATGTCGGTAAAATCGTTAATCCTCTAGGTGGTCCCTCAAAAGTCCTTTTAACCACCCAAAATTTACGCTCTCAGTTGGTTTAGAGGATCGTCATCCACTCAGATAATTCAAAATCAATTCTCCTCAATACCATATAAGTCGACTTTGTCGCATAAGACTGAAGTCTTTAGACTGATTTTTATTAACAATAAATTAAAAACCTCAATACAAATAAGTACAGGCTCTTTCACTGACCATGAAGACCTTTTTTGTTTAATCGCAGATTCAATGTATAACTTAGATTGATTATATTATTGGACACAGGAATTTCAACAATCAATTGCACTTTAGTGTGTAAACACATTTTTCTTTCTTTTTCTTCAACGTTTACTCTTTACCCTATTTAGGTGTAGCCGTAGTGATGTAAATTACGAGGAAGAAATTATGCCGACTGATGATGCAACTCCCATAAACAACAAAACTTGTCAATTTCTTTTCTATGTGGGAAACTTATTAACATTTTCAACATTCTTTTCCCCATAGTTACCACCAATATTTGACTCATTTGAAATGTCTCTTTAAATAGACATTCATCTCATGACTTAACATTACTCAAAGACTTAATAATCTAAAGAAAACACAAGTCCATGGAGAAGATTTTTTCATTCTCAGCTCAGGCCAACAAGATGGGTGATAGTGATACACTCAATCATTTTAATTCAACCATATTAAGTTACGTGTTTTTTTGCTTAGTAATCACATTTCATGAATTTTGTTCTTCTTTTTCTTCGTTTTTTCGAGCCATTCTTTTGGTTTTTAGTACTCCATATAATAAGAATGCTGAAACTTCATCAAATGCGAATGTGATCAATAGTGAGGGGTTATTAGACGAGGATGTTGAGTTAGTATTCGACACACTAATAAATTTTTGCAACCAAAATGGGGATAAGAATATTGATGAGGTAGAATTGGTTGAGGTTTTCGATTCATTTGAAAAAACAGAGCCTAGTTTGGAGGAAGTTAAAGAAGCATTTGATGTGTTTGATGAAAATGGAGATGGCTACATTGATGCAAATGAATTAAAGAAAGTCATTTCCAAGATGGGGTTCTTGGAATTATCTGTGTTGGATTGCCAGAGGATGATTGCACCATTTGATGAAAACAGAGATGGAAAAATTGATTTTGGTGAATTTGTGAAGCTCATGGAGCATACCTTTCAATAACTCTGCATTATTCATTTTCATGTTTAGTTTTGTAATTACTCTTTTCAATGCTAATTAATAAAACTACTTGCCAAATTTCAAGAAATATGATTGTAGTAGTACTATATAAATGAATGTGACATACAATTTTAGTTGCTCTGTACAGTAGAGTTCCATTGTTTACAATAAATCTCTCTGTTTTTTTTTTCTTCATAAAAAAAAATTACTGACTCATGATTACATTCTAGTTGGAAAATGTTTGGATAATGGTATTGTGCCATGGGTCTGAAATGTGCTGCAACAAGTTGTCAAATGGTCCCTTTCCTGTCACATTGTGTTGCACTATAAATCCCAAAAATGCTAACATTGCCAATCTCCCTGCAAATCCAACATCATACGAAAGAATTTAACTTATATACATTGATAATAATACAATATGGACTTGATGATTGTGTTAATTAGTGATTTACCATTAGCAATTTCCTTTTCCTTGGCCTCCAATGTGGGTGCAAAGTTGAGTGGGTTGAAAATGCCACCTGGATAACCAACTTCATTAGGAGGCAAACTGTAGCTCTTGAAAATAGGATCTTGGTTCACACTTCCAGGGTTCTTAATGTCTTGCCAACGTCGAATTTCAACGTAGTGGAACAAGATGAACTCGATCACAAACAATGTTGAGGAAGATGCAAAGTAGTCGGATTTTCCAGCATCGAACCATTTTGGTACGTTAAGAAGGCCAATGCTAGTGAAAACCTCAGGCAGTAACATCCCTGCAACACCCAACATAGCCCATCGACCGTTCACTAGCTCAGCCTGAACGAACCATCTCAAGTTCTCTGGATCCTCCGCGAGTCCCAACGGATCAAAACCATTGTCACCAGCAAGACTACAACAATTATATTAGAAGTTGTTTAGTAGGCATGCAGTATGAAGCAAAGACAAATGACCATTTGTATAATTTTTTCGAAATATAAATTCCGTGTGTGAAATGTACATACATACCTTCCATTAAGGTAAGTAGGAGAGGTTAAGCCTGGAAGCCATTCACCTTTCTTTGCTTCAATTTTGAATGAATTGTAAGACAAAGTTGATGATTTAAAAGACACATCTCTGTTTAGTTTACCGGATGATCCACTGAGGAACCTTGTCTTAGTGGCGGATGGACGAAAGACCGCGGCAGAGGCTTGCGTCGTTACAGTGGCCATTTTAGAGTTATCAATATAATTGATGTTTACTTAGGTGAGAGCTAAAATAATTTGTGTATGCAAAAATTGTGCTTCTATTTGAATGGGAATTGGACGACTGGGATTGGGTTGTGAATTTGAGAGTAGCCAATGAGAAGAAATGTGTGTTATCCTTATCCAAAGAATCTATTTCTTTGTTCGGTATTGTTTTAGAAGAAATTAGGAGGGGACCCAAATATTTGCCATGTAAGTAAAAGAGAAACAACAATAATAAGGGGAATTAATTGGGAAATCTGTTGTTGTCGAATAAGAATTTGACATTTGGTTAATTACAAGTCGTTCGTAAGAGAACATATCTCACGTGGAGATTTCAGGCGATAAGAAATCTAGTGAGTTACCTTATGGTCATCCCAAGTCCTAACACATATGCCAAGCAAATAAAAAAGAGACGCTCTGTATAGGAGTTGACGCAAATTTAGGATTCGTTTTGACCATTTGAGATGAAATCGTGATTTATAATTATGATATGAAATTATATGAGTTAAAGTTGAATGCAATTTGGACTTCTAAGTTGTATTATTTATTCATAAACATAAAAACCTCATAAGTTGTGAAAACTATTAAAAGTGCATTTATATATAATTTTATTAAATAAGCAAGAGTTCATGATAAAGTATAATACACTATCAGACGGAGTCGCTTTTGGTAGAGAACGATTTAGCCCTCAATGTAGGACTTTCTGGCACGAATTCGAATATAGTCCGGTTACAATGTCGATACCGGACACTAGATGAGAAACAAAAAAAAAGACAAAGCTATTTTAAGAAAAATACAATATTTATTGACAAAATTTTAGTTCAATAAAATGTACAACGTAACTGAACATGAGTTGTAGTGAACTATTCTTTTATAAAATTGAACATGGTCAATACTATTAGTAAATATATCATCATGTTCATATTCCATGAATATTTCATCACTTCTTTGTTATTCTCGCAAAAAAATAATGTAGATGTAAAATGGTAGGTTTATTTTTATAAAATATAAACTTGTGGATCAATTTGTATATATATATAAAGTAAAATCGTGATATGAAATTCTCAAATCAAGCTTTTTGAAGAATTTGATATTTCATCTAATGAAATGAAATCGCATATCCAAACGCTTCATCTCATGATTTCAAATCTTGAAAAATAAGTGAATTTCTTACTCTCTTTTTTTAAAATGTTTTATAAGTAAGTACAAAAATAATATCCTAAAAGCATTCACATGCAAGCTAGCGAACATTAAAAGGGCGAGATGGAGTGAGGGATAGGTGGAATGTTCAAGCGATGGGGGGCTGGAGATGTTGGGTGGGTAGAAAGTTAACTTAAGGTTTACTTATGTAATTTATTTTTTTGTTTTTCTAGAGAAAATATTTTGACCATAAAATAAAGAAAAATTAAAAAATATTTTACATCCGTACCAAACACACTAATCATATTAAACTTAACTCCAATCTTGAGTGCAAAAGTTCACTTACAAATGAACTGAACTATTCATGCTGGAGCTCTTAAGTAGAAGCCAAGTCAAATACTACGGGATATCAACATGGTTATGAATTATGGTGTAGTGATGGAACTGCTTTACCCTTAATCAAATGTCTCAGATTCAATCCTAGATATGAAGAAAATTCAGTTTGGAGCGCCACCTCCAAATGGGTCCTGCAGTGTGATTCAAATTTAATCGGAGTTTAATACAGGCTTCGAATATCGGGTCGAAAACCAAAAAAAATACTCCCTCCGTTTAAAAAAGAATGACATAATTTCTTTTTTAGTCTATTTAAAAAAGAATGACCCATTTCCTTTGTTGACAACACTTTAACTTCAACTTTACATGTGACATGTTTAAGACCACAAGATGAAATGACATTCTACTACATTTAATATAACTTTAATTTAAAATTACAAGATTAAAAAATCTTTTTTCTTTTCTTAAACTCCCGTGTCAAGCCAAATTAGACCATTCTGGAGAGATAATTTGGTTATTTTTTTGATAAATAAAGCAGGAAAAGTAGAAGCCAAACAGTTGCAGGGGTAACTTAGTAAAATTATTCTGAAATAAACCCTAGTTTCGAACCTCCGGAGTCTGTAGTGACACCTATAAAACCCCAAAATGGCAGCATTCGCACAACAAGAACCCTAGCCACCACCATTCTAAATCTTTCTGCTCACCTTTTCCAGTATCAACTTCTCATTTGCTTTTTTTTTCATCAGTTTAGATTCAGTCCTTATTTTTATATAGGCTTTGTATATTTGTTGTTGTGATTCTTAATTTTTTGTGGAAATTCACAGGTAAGATTTGTGTTTTCTTATGCCCCTTATATGGTAGAATTTGTTTCTTGGCTGCATCTATCAGCTCAAATCTGCGCGCCTCTGCCTATGATGGCATTAAATATACTTTGAGTATTTCACTATGAAACAATTTTTAATCTGAGGCTTGAGGCTTTATCAATTCCTTATGTTTTCCTAAATTTTTGCAATCCTTATTTTAGCTTTGCTTCATTAATTAATGGGTCTGATATCCTTTTGTCAAAGGAAGAAACTTTATATAATACATATAATTTCGAAATGTTACTCCTTTTGTTGATTTCCTTTTTGAAATTCTTTATGCCTCTGATTTTCCAGTACTTAAGAGTCTTAGTTATTATTATGTATGTATTCCACGGGGGAGTTGTCAAGATTATAATGTTGTAAAAGCTTAGTTTGGATCTTATTTAATTTGCTAATTCAATGCTTACAGTGATGTTGCATTCTTGGTTGGTGGTTTATAAAGAATTTGATATGAGGATACACTTGTTTATCTTAAATATCAACTTGTGATAATCTCGAACTATTTTCAGTTTTTTCCTTCTTTTTTTGGGTTAAAGTCTTCATTTCATTTGGTCCTTGCAATGATGATAGAACAGACAGGGACATCAGCACCCTCTGGGGATGATGATTTGTCGATGGGAATCTCTCTGATGCTTGAGACTTGTCTTATTTTCAACTGTGTAACCATTGCTGTAGTTATTCATTTTCACATTAGCTGTTCCATATCCCATAATTGGTGATTAGTTTATTGCTTGAACAACCTCTCCTATAACTCTGTGCTTTTAGTTGCGTTTTTGGTTTAGAAAGAGCTTCCCAGCCATATATTTGTGAGCTTTGCACACCAATCACATTGCATATCTAGTTAGAACTTTGGCACATTGGTAGTGTTGTATTTGTTACACACAGTGATAGCTACTAGCTAGTGGTTGTTGCTATCAATCATCTTAGCAAGTTAAGCATTGGGATTTTTTTGACTTTTCTCTTATGCTGCTCCTTTGGCTATTTTGAAATTGTAACTTTGTGGTTCATATTACTAGAATTAAGAAATAAGAAAGATGATAGTGTGTGAGCACTACTTCTCTAAGGCCACCAGTTAATACACATACACCTCTCTACTATTTGTATTTGGTTCTTGCAATGATGATAGAATAGACAGGGACATCAGCACCCTCTTGGGGATGATGATTTGTCGATGGGAATCTCTCTGATGCTTGACATTTGTGTGATATTTTCAACTGTGTACACTACCATTGCTGTAGTTTCTGTTGTGTGTTTCTGGTCCTGTCATTCATTTTCACATCAGCTGTTATGTGTTCCCTGGTGAATTTATTGCTTGAACAACAACCTCTCTTTTAAAATCTCTGCTTTTAGTTGCATTTTTTCTTAAGAAAGAGCTTGTTGGCTTTGACACCAATCACATTGTATATCTAGTTAAAACATCAGCACATTGTATTTGTTACATACGAAGTGATAGCTAGTGATTGGCATTATCAATCTTCTCAGCAAGTTATAAGCACTTGAATTTATTTGACTTTTCTCTGATGCTGCTTCTTTGGCTTTGTTATTTTGAAATTGTATCATATCATCATAATTCAAAATGAAAATCCTCTAAGGTCACCAGTTAATACACATACAATTTTGTTCTGTTTTTCTTTGATTTTTGAGAGGTTGCAGTAAGCACAATTGATCCTTCATCTTTAGTTAATCATGCAAGTGCTTTTCTTCACATTGTCTTAAAGTGCCAGTGATGTGTCTGTACGTATTATCTTGATATGTAAAGATGATGATGTTACGTAATTGTCACTACCTCTGAGGCACAATTTTTTTTTTTTTTTTTGACATTTCAGTTTGATCTGTTACTCTCTTGTGTGGGATTGTTTTACCTCCTCCATTATCATCTTTTTGCAGCTATTTGTACCTTTTTTTGGTATAAGCCTGATGATTGTCAATTAAGAACGGAGATTCGAATGTTGCTATCTGTTGAAGCCTTCTTATAAGTAGGGCTCCAGTGGCGTCACATGTGATAAACTTTCTTACATATGATGAAGGCTTTTTTTTAACCAAAAATAATCAGATACATTGGTTTTATCTTGGTGGATTTTCTTCTTGCAGATGGACTGCTGGATCATAATTGATGAACTGTTAAACTACCATGATAAATCATCTAGTCATCGTTAGTCTTGATGCATTCTTTTAGTAAGTTGCAGCAAATTTATTAGGATTAGTGATGTATCACTCTAAAAATTGGGTGACTATTCATGGTCCTCTAGTTACTCTCAAAGACGTGTTTTCCACAGTTTCTGCAATGCCGGGGGATTTTCATCATTTTGATTATACATGTTGTCCAAAATTTTGAATAAGTGATAATGTAAATATATTTTTTCAATTAGTTTGAGACTGAGTTGTAATGGATGGATTGTTTAATTATTTATCAAAAAGCTTCACATCTTGTAGTAATGCTATTGTACATTATTATCTACAACAATATACTCAGACTAATCTTAACAAGTGAGGTTAGGAAACTGTAAGATGTATGCAGATCTTATCTTTGCCGTTGTAGTGTGGAGAAGTGGTTTGATAGATTCTCGGCCTTGTAATTTATAACAATGTACAAATTAGTCCCACCATTTTTCCTGATTTCACTTGCTAAAAGTGGTTAAAGAATCTACTCCTGAATACTGGAGGAATCAAATGATGATTTTTTTGATATTTGTCCAATTGAGGCTAAAGTTAAAAGCTCAGATTCCTCAAGACCTTTTGCTGGACTGAAGCTACACCCTTCATCCCCATACCTTGCTACTGCATCTTTAAATTTCTTTATCTGCACAAGTACAAGTTCTACAATGAGAAGATACACTTTTCTTTAGCAGTTATGTGACAAATCAAAGAATTTTAAAGAAAAACTTACTGTTGCATTAGTACAGCTGAAGCTACAAACTTTGCCTTGTGCACCCTTGTAGAATCTGAAGAAGGGCAAGACAGGTATATGAAGAACATTACACATGCTTTTCAGTTCTTCATAGTTTACTTTTAGGAATATGGCATTGGGATTTGATTCAGCTAGCTCACACATCTGCAAACATTATGTAACAATAGTGATTTTATTAACAGCAGCATGATAAAAAGACAGGTGTCAGAATTTGCATTCAGAATTTCTGTGGTGTCTTATTCAGCTTGGGCACGCCTCGACTAATTTTATAGGTATCTTAGATTTACCTCATACCAACAAAAATATCGGGCAACTCTATCCACAAAGACTTGGACAACCGCAAAAAACTAAATTCTTGATCATATTGGTACCATACCTTAGGATGTAAAGTCTTGCAACCTCCACAGCCAGGAGAGTAGAAGTCAATTATGACTAATCTATCACCAGCCTTTAACAATGAATCAACAAGTTGTTGTGCTGAATTGATCTCTACCATGTTGGGTTTAAGTGTCTTCTCCCACCATCCCTGACCACTGCCAACACAAATTTCTACTTGTGCCTAAAACATTAGACAAAATACTTACTGATCCTTAATCTCAAAACTCAAGAAAAGAAGGAAAAATACAAGAATGAAACATAAAAAGCACCTGTCTATGGTCTGATACATCCAAAGATTTGCCTAGAAATTCTCTAGATGTTAAATCTTTAAGTTGCAAATTTCCATTTGAATAACAATGATGAGCAGACCCTTTGGCTCTGGAATTGAAACAGGGGACAGAAACAGAGAAACCAGTACTCAAAGAACTTGCCATTGACACTAAAAAAAATAGTTGCCAGACTATATAGTATCTAACAGTTAATTACCTTAACTTTGGGATAAAGAATCAACTTTTTTTCCAATAGAAGAAGAAAGATTTAGGGGCACGCAACAACAGATTGGTGTTTTCTTCCGGAAATTAATAGAAGAAGAAACAATCACACATTTTCAATACTAAAAAAGGGAAAATATTGAGGCTCTTTTTGACCAGGAAAGAAGGAAGGCCAATGAAAATTGTGCTTCTCTTCCTTTAAAAAGTTGAGGAATAATAATAAGTTAAGGATTCAACTTATTAGATTTAAACTTTATTGAAATTGAAACTTTTTTTTTTTTTAAACATTTACAGGTAAATTTTTTTTAAAGATTTATAATCTTGAAAATAAAATAAGTTATTTATTATAGGTGAAAAATGATTTGATGGTGTGAAGTTTTCTTACACCGATAAACTCTTAAAATTAGTAACTTAACTCTCGTGGCCAATAGTGTACATTTTTAAGTGAATACAAGCTTTATCCATTAAAATTTTATTCAATGTTAATATATTTTAACAAAAAAGTTAGGATGAGAATGTGGTAGCCCATAAACAATGGGCGGACCTATGCGGTGTCAGGGATTCACCTAAATCTCCTCGATAAAAAATTACATTGTATATGCATAAGGTAAATTTTCAATACTTTTCTGTATATACTAATTTTGAACCACCTCAATCAAAAAAGAGATATAGCTCAGTGGTTTTAGACTGTGCAACTTGGGCCGTGAATGCTATCCCTGATTTGCAGGTTTGATTCTATTGGATGCGCAAGCTATCTAATTTTTTTTAAAAAATTAATTCTTTGGAGTTTGTACTTTACACTCTAGTTCACACATTTATATTTTTATTTTCCGAATCCCCTAAGTAAAAATTCTGAATCCGCCACTACGATAAGAGGTTATGAATAAGTTCCTCTACCAACGCCTTCTTAGTCGAGCTCGTGGCATCATACTTTTCTTATGCAATTTTCATCTCCTATATAATTTGCAAGCTATTACATATGTAGGAGCAAACTTACCCAATGCACCCAAAAATAATAGCTATTGCGGATATTTTTTTATTTTTAAAAAGGACTGATTTTGGATGATGATTAATAACAGAGTGTGGGCAATGAGTATAGGCTTGTTTGTTTATACATAGAAGGTGGTTGCGTGTAATTGAGTTGGCATTTTTTGTATTTTATATAAGTTTTAGATGATTGAAACAAATGATGAGATGCAAAGAATACAAATAATGAGAATGCCAATGAGTGTTATATTATTATGAGTTTTAGGCATATTTGGCAGTTAGTTAGTGTAGTTTCACTGCGTAGTAGACTTTGTCTTTTATTATTTGGATAAGAATTCCAGCAACTCTTTACTATTTTCATCGAAGCAAACATCTTCATGCATGTTTCTTATTTTCATTCAACTCAATAAAGATGACACTTTTTATTACTTTACAAAGTATATATACTACTATTAATATCTTTAATTTGTGATATGGGAAAAACATGGCAACATAAAGGGTCCACTTTCGGTACGCAGATTTGATTTTGTAACCTTTTACAATTTTATGTCTTTAACAAGATAGATTATTATTTATACTTGTAAGAAATTTTAAAAACTTTTTTTCTATTCAATTTATAAGTGGTCATTTTTTCAACTCAGGAAAAAGTATGTTTGTTTTTTTTCTTCTAATATCAGAGGTAGGGTTATGGTGAATATTTGGATTTATTTCTTAATCTTTTTTGAAGGGTAAAGGGTCTGTTATCTAAAATCTTCTATTAGTGAAATATCTTCAATTATTAGCCCATGGTTTTGTTTCTTTTGGAGCACTTTTTTTGTTTGCCCATGGTCTGGAACACTGAACAGTTAATGCTGGTGATTACTACTTAAAACATATACGACAAAAGAATAGCATCTGGCCCATTAGCTCAGTTGGTTAGAGCGTCGTGCTAATAACGCGAAGGTCGCAGGTTCGAGACCTGCATGGGCCAATTTTTATCATTTTAGTAGCAAATATCGTTTTTCTGTGGGAAGTTTACTTTTTTGGGTGAAAATAAAATATTTTTCTTTAAAAAAGGACACATATATAAAAAAGATAACTTACAACAATCCAAAAGTAATTTAATCACGCATGATTTTGTTGATGAACTTTTCTTTCAAAAATTGTACTCTCACCATCTCAATGTACGCAATACTATTTTTCATACTCCATCCGTCTCAATTTATGTGATATTTTTCAGATTTTGAGATTCAAACAAGTCTATTTTTTACCGTAAATTTATCATATATCTTTTAATTTTTTTGAATTGCCAATTATTGTGACTTATAATATTTTTACGTAGTTTACAAATATATAAATTTCATTTCATTATTTTTTAAGATTCCACGCACAAATTTTCGATCAAATTTAAACTGTTTGACTCTCGAAAAACGATAAGTCTCACGTAAATTGGGATTGAATGAGTATTACTTATTAGTATAGTAGTATATATGTTCCTAAAAGAGAGATATATTTATAAACATCCCACTATAAATTTTACTCTCAATGTGATTTTTTATAACAAGACAAATATAATTATATTTAAAAGATCACATGCTTAAAAAGTTTTATGCCTAAAATTTATATGTATGGCAGATTTAAATCATTTTATCTTTTTACAATTTAAATTATATGACATGTTTAATTAACATAAGCTATCTCAGGTAAATTGCTATGATGAAATATATTTGTATATAATTATATATAAAATTTTACTCTTACTCTGGTATCTGTTTGTTGGTGAAAACTAACAGGTATCTCCTGAAACTAGTCGAGGTATGCAAAAGCTGATCCGAACATCACGATCATAAAAAATTATTTGTATAGGTATCCTACACTACAAATTTATTTGTTTTTTTTTTATGACTAGGTCTTATCTAATTCTTATTCTTTCCTCTTGAATATCCTACCAACGTTAGCTTACCTGCCCACTTCAAGTGTTACCATCATAGATCCTTGTAGCTTCACTCTCCACAATGATTAAGTAGGGAGTTCTTTTTAGGCCATAACAAACACTTGGTACAACATATAACACGTTCTCATTCTTAACCAAATATATTCAATTTATAGTATATGAATAATTAATAAAATTTTACATATTATTAAAATTATATTGAAGAATCTAATCAAACACTTAGTTAGTAGGATCATTGAATATTGTTTGACTACTTAGAAAATGCATCACATGTATATAAACACGAACATCATATAAAGCCACAATCTAAAATCGTACATGTTACAGTTATTCGTTCCAACACTTTTTTTGAGAATAAACCTTTCAAGAATCTTCCCACAGACTTTATGGAATTGGAGAAGGAACAGAAGAAGTGTCTGCTCTTTTGGAATTGTAGAAAATGGAAAGATTTTCTTCTTTTTCTGATTTCTCCTGTGAGAACTTTTTTTATTATTATGAAGGGACACAATTATTCAAATAGTTGTGTCTCTTCCCTTATATTTATTTATTTATATATATGCTTGATGTCTCTTAAATTATTTTTGAGGGTATTTTTGTCTTCTTATAATCTATTTGTTATTTTTGTATAACTTAACATGAGTGTGTCCTACTTTTTTACTCTCTATTTTGTTCCTATCTTCTTTTTTATTACTTATATAAATAAATTATTCCATGCAAAATATTAAATATAACAAACTTTCTTACCTTTTTAACACTCTTAAAAAGAAATTATATAAAAGTTTTAGTTTACTCTCCTCATTTCATCTGTGCCACATAAATTCTATATTAAATGGATTTTGAGGTTTTTTTTTAACTTAGTTCAAAATAAGTGAATTGTTCAAAGTTCAAAATAAATGTTTGAATTTTTTCCCCATTTTTTGCCCTTTATTTACATTTTTTAGGTAATAAGTTCAAGATAGTTAATTAATTGCTCATATTTATAATTTTACTTTGAATTATTTATATTTTCAAGAATTGTATAACAACAACTAAAGGGGTAAAACTGAAAAATGGCGTTCAATTTATGTCCTAAACATTTTTAAAAATAGATATTCATTACCTCACAAATTCACTTAATATAGAGTAAAGAGAGTAACATCTATCGGTCTGTGCTTGCACGGGCACCTTGTGTCTAGTCATATACTATCAAAAGTATAATTAATATGTTCTGGAATCATTCATGGTTAATCCATGCTGCATCAAGTTCAAATTCTTGAATTTTCCTCTGTGTCTTTTGAGGTATCAATTATAAGGAGTAAATCCATCATATGGGTGCATTATTGTCACGATCCAGACCGTCGTGATTGACATCCACACTAACTCTCCGGTGGGAGAACCACTACTACAATCCAAACCAAGCAACTAAACCAAAAACTAAAACATTTAAGTTACGGAAGCAAGTTAAATAGCTAAAGACTGAAATTCCCATAAACTTCCAAAAGATCTAACAACTAAACAATATGGAAAATACACCTAGAACCTGAAAGTCAATGTACCAAAACATCTAAAGTTCAACAAGTCTAAACAAGAAGGGTTACAACCCCAAACTAATGAACTAATAACTAGCTAGAAAATCTACGTCCGAAATGTGGACGTAGACAGAAAGAGAACTCATGGCAGCCTGGAAGAACTGGCTCACCCTTGAATTCGAACGACGATCACTGATCTTCTAATCCAGGTCTGTCAATAGCCGCTTGAAGATGCCTTGTACTCAACAAAAAAAGAGCAAGTGCAGTATCAGTACACAACCATAGTGTACTGGTAGGATCACACTGCTATCCCACTAAGTGCAACATACATAAGTCAAAACAACAATATAATCATATGCATATATCGAACATATACAAGATTATCAACATTTACGAACAAGATACAGTTTTACATTTCTCAAGGTACACAATTATATCAAATCATTGGTTCTCTCGTGGAACCCAAACCCAAACAGTTAGCATACCGAAATATGGTACCCGATCCAATGATTATGCCAGAACGTGGCAACCGATCCCATAATTATGTCAGAACGTGGAAATCGATCCAAGTTAGTGTGTCGGAACGCAACACCCGATCCATTCAACAAGCCACAATCACAATCACAAAGTACAGTCTCATAATCATACAATCAAGTCATGATTCATGACATTCATCATTCATATATCCTCATCTACAATTAATGTGATTAATAATGCAACATTCGCATACATACATGTATCATAATGAAGCAAGAACGAATATAACATCACACAATCATAGAATCACAACTATCACCTATCTCAAAACAAACTTGAA